TTGTCATGGTCTATAGAAAAACTTATGTCGTGGTACATATATATGACCATTTGTCAGCGTACATATATGACCTTTTGTCATGGTCTATAGAAAAACTTTTGTCGTGATACATATATCACCTTTTGTCATAGTACAGATTACGATGGTAATTTGTACCACGCCAAATGGTAATTTCGCTTGGTAGTAAATGTATTTTTTTGTATACGGAGGGCTTTGATTTTTGTATGATATATTTTATATGGAATTATTATTTTAGTTTAGATAATAGTTGGTTTGTATGGACTTTGACATTTAAAGTTATTTATTTTTTATATATGGATGTAGATTGTGGAATGATTGATAGTATGCATCATTTTGTTCATATACGTATTACAAGTTGCATAGAATATAGACAGGTTGTGAAGAAATTATAATTTTGCGATAAAACATAATATCATGTTTTTGCCGACTAAACAATTAGTAGCTAAAAAGAAATTGGGAAAATACTTTGGGCGGCTAAAAGTTTTGTAGTAAAAAAAAAATAAAATAAAAAATAGACATTCAGCGACTAAAAGTTCTGTAGCCAAAAGAAAATCAAACATTTGGCGACTAAAATATTTCGTAGCTAAAAACAAAAGCTAAAGAATAAAAACACTTTTGCCAACTAAAAATTTAGTAGCAAAAAATGTGTAACTTTAGGCGACCAAATATTTAGTAGCCAAAATAAGAACTATTTGCCAACTAAAATTTTAATAGCCAAAAACGTGGGACTTTAGACGACCAAATATTTAGTAGCCAAAACAAGAACTCTTTGCTGACTAAAATTTTAGTCAAAAATGTGAGACTTTAGGTGACCAAATTTTTAATAGCCAAAACAAGAACTCTTTGCCGACTAAAATTTTAGTAGCTAAAAATGTGGGACTTTAGGTGACTAAAAGTTTGATCGCCGAAAATGTACTAATTTAATTTAATGTCCAACCTTTTGGCGACTAAAAATTTAGTCGGAATTGTATACATTTGGTGACTAAAATAATTTTAGTCGCTAATTACCTTTACCGACAATTCTTCGACGACTACTTCTGCGACCAAATAATTTAGTTGTTGAAACCCTTCGGCAACCAAAAATTAACTTTTGGCGATTAAAAATTTAGTCGTCAAAAATGAAAATTCTTGTAGTTATGCAACCAATGATGTAGAGGTGCATGATGGATTTCCAGAAGAAGAGGGTGTTGAGCAGGGGAGCCACAACCCCCTCCTCCACAGACTATTGATCCATAGTTACGAAGACTAACAAGAGAGCCTAAACTGTTGTCAAAATACCCTACTTCTGAGTATATTTTGCTTACTGATGAGAGGGAGCCAAAAAGTTTTCAAGAAGCTCAGATTCATAAGGAGAAGAGTAGCTGGCAGTAAGCTATGCAAGAAGAGATGCAGTCCTTGCAGAAAAATCAGACTTGTGATTTGGTAAAACTTTCCCAGGGTCGAAAAGCACTGAAGAACAAATGGGTGTTCAAGTTGAAGAAAGATGGCAGCGGAAAGCTAGTCAAGTACAAGGCTTGATTGGTTGTCAAAGGTTTTGGGTCGAAGAAAGGTATTGATTTTGATGAAATTTTCTCGCCGGTTGTGAAAATGACATCCATTTGAGTAGTTTTGGGACTAGCGGCCAGTTTGAATTTGGAACTTGAACAAATGAATGTGAAGACGACATTTCTCCATGTTAAAATCCACCCTTGATTGGTTGTCAAAGGTTTTGGGTCGAAGAAAGGTATTGATTTTGATGAAATTTTCTCGCCGGTTGTGAAAATGACATCCATTTGAGTAGTTTTGGGACTAGCGGCCAGTTTGAATTTGGAACTTGAACAAATGAATGTGAAGACGACATTTCTCCATGGTAATTTGGAGAAAGAAATTTACATAGAGCAACCAGAAGGCTTTGAAGTAAAAGGGAAAGAAAACTTAGTCTGCAGATTAAAGGAGTCTCTAAAGCCTCAAACAAGCGCTGAGACAGTGATACAAAAAGTTTGACTCATTCATGGTGGGTAATAGTACAAGAGAACCGCTGCAGACCAGTGTGTATATGTCGAGAAATTTCCCGAAGGAAATTTCATCATTCCTATGATGACTGTTGATTATTGGATAGGATGCCACAGCAATCAAATCACTGAAGAATGAGTTATCACAGTCCTTTGACATGAAGGACCTAGGCCCTGCACAACAAATTTTGGGTATAAAAATTATATGTGATAGGAAAGCCAAGAAGTTGTGGTTGTCACAGGAGAAGTATGTTGAACGGGTGCTTGAGAAGTTTAACATGAAAGATGACAAGCCAGTCAATACTCCACTGGCTAATCATTTCAAGCTGAGCAAGAGTTCTTGTCCCTCATCTACAAAAGAAAGAGAAGAGATGGAGGCAATTCTCTATTCTTCTGCAGTAAGGAGTTTAATGTATTCAATGGTATCTACCCCGACCAGATATTGCTCATGTTGTTGGAGTTGTGAGCAGATTTCTTTCCAATCCAGGAAAAGAGAATTGGGAAGCAGTCAAGTGGATTCTGAGGTACCTTAAAGGTACATCTAAAATGTGTTTGTGCTTTGGAGGAGCTAAACTAGTCTTGGAAGGCTATACTGATTCAGATATGGCAGACAATCTTGATGGTAGAAAATCTATATCAGAATTTCTGTTCACCTTCGCAAGGGGTGTTGTGTCTTGGCAGTCCAAGCTGCAAAAATGTGTTGTTTTATCCACAACCGAGGCAGAGTATATTGCCGTAGCGGAAGCTAAGAAAGAGATGTGGTTGAAGCGGTTTCTTCAAGAACTGGGACTAAAGCAAGAAAAGTTCACGGTACATTGTGATAGCCAGAGTATCATAGACCTGAGCAAGAATTCTACGTACCATTCTCGCATGAAGCACATTGACATTCGGTATCATTGGATATGAAGAAGTAGTTATTGGAACTAGTCAAGATCCATACAGATAAGAATCCAGCTGACATGCTTACAAAGATGGTCTCGAGAGACAAACTCGAAGTATGCAAGGACATTGTTGGGATGGACTTTTAGTAAGGAGCCCACTTCCCATAGGTGTGGAAGGGGAGAATTGTTGAGTATCCACACCAATGTGAACTTGGCTATGGAAGTCAAGTATATAAATATAGTTTTTTTTAAAGATTTTCAAACCTAGGGTGGTTGTGTAGTAAGCTTGCCATTTAATCTTTTATAGTTGGTTGTTGGCAAGCAGAGGTTGGCAAGCAGAGGCTCTCCCGTTTGTGTATAAATTGAGAAGAGCTGTGAGCTGAGAGATATCAGAAAGTGAAGAAAAAGAGAGTTGTGAGAAGTGTATCAGAGCTCTGAGTTGAGTAGAGAGAGTGAGAAACTCCTCCTACTCTGTTTTGTATTTTTTGCTCTGTTATAGTGCATTCTCTCTTTCTCCCGTGGACATAGGCATTGGGCCGAACCATGTAAATATTTGTGTCTCATTTGTGCGTGATTGCTTGTTGATCATTTAGTGAGTGTGTTTAATCCTAACAAATATGATGTGAACTCTAGAAATTATCAAAAATCTCTAAAATAGTTACATTACTACGACTTCTATGAATTTGATGTGTCTCAATGCCAGTGAGGTTTTTTTTTAAATATTAAATTAGTATTAATTTTTATTAATTTTGATTGTTTGTAATTGTAATATTAATCTACATAGTAAATAAAAATACATTAAAAAATAAATAAAAATTTATTGTTGTGTCTCTGTCCCCATTGTTTTGAAATTATTGTATCCCGCGTCCATGTTTGTGCCTCTTAGGCACTTGCCATCCCACAAAAAAGTGGGAGAAAGGCTGCCTTGTCATCGCTTACCTATGTGTTAGATGATTTCCATAATAGGAGAAGAGAGGGGGACAAATCCATCTTGCTGTGCTCAATCTGAGATCTCTTGGCAGCACAAAGGACCTTCCTTCACATCCCAGATGGAAGCATCATTACCATTATCCATCTCCCCAAAACAGTGTAACAATTTTGGAGGAAGTACTCAACTCTAGGTTTTCAGTTTTCTTTTCTAGAAATCTTAATGAATGTAAATTGAAAGTTTATGTATTTCTTCGTTTCATTGTTTAAAACAGACGTATTCTATCAAACACACTAAGGGAAAATGAAATGGTTAAAATGATAAAATTAAAAATAAAAATCAGCCTTGGCAGCATGTAAAATATTAATGGGGTTAGAAATTGTAGCACGACAACAATTGTCCAAATTTGCAAACCATTCTGGTAAACATTGTTGCAGAACATTTTTCCATATAGATAGGGTGAGTGAGTACTTATCAATGCTACAGACCCTACTAAAGGAAAGGAAGAAACAAAGGAGATCCAAACCCAGACGTTAAGAGATATCAGGCAGTGATGTTGGCAGTTTATTTAGTTGGGACAGTTACAATCATTCTATTCATCAACATTTTAAAAATCCCTTTCAGAATTACATTCTGTTTTACAAAAATAACTCAAGATTGAAAATGAAAACCCGTTAATGGACGGAAAAAAAAAAGCTCTACTCTAGAAAAATGCCGGAACTAGCTTCCATCCTAGTTCAAAACTTCATTTCCACATACCATCTACTCATTCAAATCCATTTTTAATCCTAAAGTGGTTTACTCTTTGTTCAACATCTACCATCAAATCCAGTTAGTGACTACATAAAAGAGGCATCTTTTCTTTCCCACTGTGCACAAAACTATGTCTGATGGCGCACCAAACACAATCCGTATACAGCAACCTCAAATTGTATTGACTTTGATGCGTAACATTGACTTTGAAAAACTAGTTTCCAAATGTAGACAAAATCAAATACCCAACAAAAAAAATGTATGCATCACAAGTCAAATTCAATCATTTCCCCCAATAGAATGCATCTAATAAATCTACATAACCTAAAAATAAATTTAAGAAAAATAATAAATTTCCCAAAGCAAGCTATTATGAAATGTTAACAAGATCTTCACAAAAAAATTGAGAAAAATAGAGAAACTTACCACTGTCGCCGATCAAGAGGAGTTTTATAAGGTAATCGTAATCGGCTCGAGCTCTAACAGGTGGGGCGGCCATTTTTCGAAGAAGAAACCCTAGAAACAGGTCCTTCTACGACAATATGCAATGAAAAATACACCAAAAAAACTTAAAATCAAAATGTGAAATCCAAAATGAGTATACACATAGGTGTGTAAAAGTGAATTGACGATGCATATTTATGTACCAGATCGGAGATCTCTCTCTCTCTCTCTCTGTCTCTTTGTATTGTGTGTGTGCGCGCGCTGATAAAAGGGGAAGAGATAAAACAGGAGGAAGAGTTTCTGGGACGTCTGCACGGGTCGGCCGTTGAAAAAATATTTTTTTTAGTGAGAGAAAGGCTTTGAAGAGAGAGAGAGAGCGAGAGGGTTAGGATACGGGCGAGTCCAGATTAAGTGTTTGTAACGAGTGTGTTTGATCCGTTGGATTATAATGTTTTGTTTGAGTTTTTTGAATTAAATTTTTTGAAAATTAAGTTTTTTGGTTTTTGTGTTTTTTTGATATTAGTGAATATTTTTAAAATTTTAAACATTTTTTTTACTTTTAGATTCATCTTACTTAGATGTATCTAAAAAGTAAAAAATTTATGAAAAAATATTTTAAAAAATTAATAAATACATAAAAATATAAAAAATGTGTTGAATTCTCGTATTTTTTTTATATTTTGGATATTTAGTGAATTTTTAAAAGGTTTTCTTCACAAATTTTTTACTTTTTAAATACATCTAAGTTATGTATGTCTAAAAATTTTAAAAATTACTTAAAATATAAAAAAAAAAAATCAGTAAAAATATAAATAAAAAAAAAAAAAGAAAAAAAAAAAGAACGTTGTGTGATCTCCCATTTTTGCCAGGTGACTTATGCTATTTTGAAGATCATTAGATTCTCAATGGAGTTGTTTTCCGGTGACTTTCTCTCTCAATTGACAGCGGCGAAAAACTTACGTTATTTCCTCTTTTATTCGCTATTTTCATTTAGTGTCTTTTGATGTAGTATTAGTTTTCTGTCTAATTTATATGAATTAGTTTCCGTTTTGTTTTCATTATTTTTTACTCCAATTGGTTTAGTTTTAATTTTTTGAATTTAATTTTTTTAAAATAGAGTTTTATATTTTTTTATTTTTAGTAAATATTTTTAAAATTTTAAGCAAATTTTTTACTTTTTTAGATGTACCTTACTTGTAAATCTCTTCCATTACAAAAATAAAAGACAGATCTTAGACTAATTTTTCCTCAATAATATACTTTAAAAACAAATCAAAATTTAACATTTAACTCGTAGTTTTTTTTATTTTTTATTGTTGTAATTTCTTCAAACAAAAGTGTTTCCACAATATATAAAGGAAGGACCCAAAGCAGACCGAAGAGAGGAACACAGCAAAACCCCTATCTGAGGCCCACGAAGCACACAAAGATCCCCACCAATTATTTGTCTGTAAAGATCTTCTTCTTCTTTTATTCACTATAATTTTTTGTCCACCCTACCGCTCAAATTGTATGATCGTAATTTTATTTTTCTTTAATGATTTATGGATTTGTGCATTTTTTGGGTTTGTTCAATAATGGATTTTGGGGTTGAGGGATTTGTGAATTCTAAATTTGGGTGTGTTCAAGAATGGATTTTGTGGTCTTGAGAGATTTGTGAATTCTAATTATTTGTTAAAAGTCCTTAAAGACCAAGTGAGTTGTTTTTTTTTTTTGGCTAAACGATTGTGCATTTCTTTGTTCTATGAATGTACTTAAAATTGTTGTATGTGTATGACAAAAGGCGATATTCCCTTGTGATTCATTCTCTCTTCTGGAGGGAAAAGAAAAGACGAAGGAAATGTGAATGAAATGTAGGCTATTTTTATTTTATTTTATTTACATTTCTCTCTCCTTTTCTTTCCCTCCACAAATCCTTACCTAAATTCATGATCCGAATATAGACTAAGGGCCTATTTGCTTCTCAGAAGTTTCCATCATGATCTAGGTATCTGCTAATTGGTGTTTGTTTGTGTCCCAACCTTTTTTTCTAATTGAATATAAGTTGTTTTCTTGTAGTAGCTCTTTTGCACCAAATTGTTTGTGAAAATCAAATGGTCTCCCTCTAGACTTGAGAAGCATTTTGTTGCAGTTTGTGCCTGACCAGAAAGGGAAAAATATGTAGCGAGTACTCGATTTCCAAATTGAATACACTCTTCCCATCACGACAGAATCCCGCATTAAACAGAAACTGTGGCAACTCTAGAAAAATTGGCCCATATAAGAGTAAAAGGTTAGAGAATAAACAAGGGGAAGATCAATTGTAAGGAAGAGTAAACCCTTTTTATATTTGTCCCCCAAGTCGAAGGTCCTGGCATAAAAACCCAACTAAGAAATTGTGACAATAAAGATTCAACAGTAAATCTCTTCATAAGTAATATGAAGTGTTGAAGCCTACTTTGCCCCGAATAGCCTTTTATCTTGAGCAGGTAGAATGATCCATCATTTGTTTGATACCATGCACTACCTGGATAAGAGCCTAAAGCATGCATAAAGCTCAAAGCTTACTTTGCTCCAAATGCATCGAAATTCATATTGAAGAGTACATTATCACGTAAAGACACCTACTAAAGAGGACATGTTAAATATTAAGTTCCAACCAAACATCTATATGAGGAATCACAAAGAAACACCATACATTATATTCCACTTTAGAACATTCTTACATGTTGTTCTAAAGGAAATTAGAAAAGAATATCATAAAAATACAAAACTTACGTGTTGTTTTTTCGCTTCCAGTTTCACCAACTATTATCAGTATGTCATTACTCTCGACCTCCTCCACAAGTCGTTTTTCAACTAGGGAAATATCAATAATATGATAAGCAAATCCGCATTTGAATAATAAACCAAAGATAAGACACCATACCAACAAATGAAATAATCAATTCATCATTGTGGGGACATAATTTTTGGGTGACAACACGTGACGAGGTGTCACCAAAGTGACGGCCGAGGTGTCACCGAAGTGCCACATGTCCTAGACATGATGCCGAGGTAATCTCCTCTAGGCCGAGATTATCTGTAAGAATACCGGAATCCGGGATAAGCGGATAAGGGACAAGAGTCCTAGATTGGGAGAGGACTTCAGTTTGGATAAAGATAAGACTCTTAGAGAGTTTATCCCAATCTGACTAGGAGTCCAAAATTAGCAATGAGACAGAATCCATTGGAGTTAGACTTCTATTGAGATTAGGTCAGTGTTAGCTATAAAAGAGAGACACTCCCATGGGTCTAAGGTACACTTTTTGTATTATGACTAGTGAGTTTAGCACTTTTGCTATTTTTGAGAGATAACTGACTTGATCGTCGGAGTTCCCCCGGGTGGACGAACCACCGCTGAAATCTCTTCTTTCTGTGATAGGTCGTTCGGGCTTAATCAATTCTGTCAGTGTTCTCCAGCTGAGTACTACTTTGGTAGTGTGGTCAGAAATCGACTCACATAATTTGGCACCGTCTGTGGGAAAGACAGGAGAATAGATGGCCAACGACGGACAGAAAAAGAAGGTTGGAAACGACATTCCTACTGGGAGTGGAAAACATATTGACCTTGACGTCAACGAAGACAACTGTAACGAAGAGACTCGTGATAAGAATCACAGAGAAAAAGACATCGGCAAAGAAGGCGACGCAACAAAGAAATCAGATCGAGGCGGGTATTATAACGAGGACGACCTCCAGGTATGGAAAGATAAATGCCTACGGAGGGACGGCGAGATGAAGGAACTGGCAAACAAATTGGCGGACCTACAATCGGTCGTCAATTTTATGATGTAGAACAACGTCATGCAACCACCGTTTCTGTTACAAGCCACGCTGATTCCAGCGTCCAAAAAAGATGCCCAGACAGCGGGGCAGACGACAATTCCTATGACTCCTCAGCACGATAGGATCAAGGAACACTCTCACAGTCCCCCAAGGGAGGTCGGGCGAGGAGAATCAAGACAGGGAGATTCACGGAGGACGCATCGCACCAAGGAAGCTGACCCCAAAGAACATCGGCATGTTTAGGGGAAGGAGTTGTGTTTTGACGCAACTAATGGTGAAAGGTCCAAAAGGACTCATAATGATACTGGGAGTAGCACACCAAAAAGGCTGAAATTCGTGGATAGCAGAGCTCCTAGACGGACCAAGGAGGATTTGAGGGATTACCTCCAGAGGAAGGAACAAGATGCCGAAGTAACCTCTTCAGTCAAGCTGAGAACGCCGTTCTCGGTGGAGTTGGAAAAATTTGAGACCCCGAAAAGGTTCCATATGCCAAGGTTACAAATATACGACGACAAGTCGGACCCTAACTTTCACGTTGGCTTGTACCTAAACTCAATGGCATTATATACTGGGAACGAACCGTTGCTATGCTAGGTGTTCCCCTCATCCTTTGGGGAGATCGCATCAGACTGGTTTCACAAGTTGCCGAAAGAAATTGTGAAAAGTTGGGAAGGCCTGGTCGAGATACTTGTGGCCAGGTTCATGACAAACAAACTACAGCCATTGAGGGTGGACGCCCTGATGGCTCTGAGAATTGGCGAGGACAAAAGCCTTAGACCTATGCCAAAAGGTATTACAAGGTATTTAACCGAATACCAGGATGCAACTAGGAGGTGGCGGTCGTGTCCTTTAAGAACGGCCTGAAAAATGATTGCCTGCTTCGAAAGTCATTGGCAAGAACATTGCCAAAAAGTATGGAGGAACTTATGGCCAGGATAGAAAAGTATGCCATGGCCGAGGAGGGCACGCCGGGGACAAAGGCGTCAAAACAAGAGAAGAAGAGCAGTTCGCCGAAGCGAGGTCGAGGTGATGGTGGATACAATAAGCAAGAGATAAGACTGAGGGCTACACAAGCAATCACTACCGTATTCCGGATTCTGATCTACAAAGTCCTAGAGAGGATCAGAAACCAACCGTATTATAGGGCACAAAAGAAGGCTCCTGGCGAGTTTATGGGACGAAACCTGGGGAAGCACTACACCTACCACAACAAGAATGGGCATCTAACTCAAGGGTGCAGAGCCCTAAAGACACATCTAGAAGACCTGGTAAGACAAGGTCATCTAAGGGACCTGGTAGACGAGACCAGGACAAGAGAAGAGCAAGCAAGACTGCCTCAGGCACCGGCAGCACCGCCGCCTCTAGCACCGTAACCGTAGGCAGGCGGACCCTGAGTGATCAATGTGATTCACTCAAAGGTCAATGAGAACGAAATCTGTGGGGAGACTCAGAAGGTAAAGCACTTACAACATGTAGACCAAGTCCGTCAAAAAAGACCTAGGGCAGACGAGTGCCAGGGACCAGTGGTGTCCTTTACTGAAGATGATCTAAAGATGGTACAGCATCCACATAATGAT